ACAATATGTCTGCATCGGATTAATAGTGATGCACAGATTAGTACAACGAAGGATTACTTCAGACTTAAGTCCTTAAGTATAGATCTGATCGGTAAGCGTATATACGTGTACACATTTCTCTGTTTCTTCTTTCTCTCTCATACTTTGTAGTCTCAGACCGTTAATGCAGAAGAGAAGTCCACGAGGCACTTGTGAATCCTCCTCTACTCTCTATTTCAGTTCCTCCCTTGGCCCCTAACTTCTTTCCTGTTTTATTTCAACGTTTGTCTCGCTCTCTGCCTATATTCTCTCCCACTCTATTAGCAAGTCCGATCTTTTATCTCACTTCAACGTTACGATTCTTGTACTTCGTCTTTCATGAAGGCTCCATCGCCACTCTCTGGGTAGCCCGGGTTACCGGTAACTGGCCGGTAAACGCAAAGTTATACGTCTCCAGATTTTAATCCGCTACTTTTTAATATGGTTTTTAGGAAATGAGATATAAATATTTAAGCAATTGATATCATTTTTCATTGATGTTTTAAATAGTTATCAATTTGTAGCTTGAATTTATTGTATTGTTTAAATTTTTTTTTTTAAAGCGAATATTTATCAATATGAATATTTGTAACATGTATTTGATAATATTCGTGGAAACGCGTTCAGATCTAAAAATCACGATACAAAAATTTGGCTATCAATAATTATATGAAAAGCAATATCTTCGATAAAAACATTTTAGTTGAATTATAATGTTTTGCGATGAATCAACGCGAATAACCTGTAGACTTATGAACGATATGAAATCTCATTACGAATACCTCGTGAACCGCTTTATGCCACAGTAGAGTGTAAAAGCAATTTCAATTGGATACAATGAACAATTTAAACTAACATTAAAATGTTAAAATCATTTCATATAAATTATAACATATAAGTAAACTCTAGAAAAGCTCCCATAAAATTATAATGATATTTGTAATAACTTTAGAAAAATTCTCATAAAGTTATAATGAAAATATTAAAATTTATATATATTTCTTAAATTCAGAATCATGGTATTTTTCTATTCGTTCATTTTTATTTCATACTATTTAAGGGTTAAGGTCGCGCGCGAGCCATGGCTCCCGGAACGCGTGTCGCGTGTTCTCTAGCATACGGCCCTGATGGCTCGCGCGCCTCGTCATTTGTCCTCGCCTCCCTCACCGACCGTCCCCTCAAGCAGGATACCATCCACCGCTCACCAAGCCACTCGATTACTATCCCTACTCCTTTTGCGTCAACCACCTCTCTCTCTTTCACCGCCTAGCACGTCGCGTGGCACTCTCTCCCTTCCACTCTCACTTCCCTCTTCACTACTCGTACTCGTGCTATATCTTTA